AAAATAGTTTATAAATCTGTTGTTAACAAGTCTCCGATGTGCAGTTTTCCACCAAAAACATTTGAATGTTATTCACAGCCAATCACAATTTTAGTATCATTTATTTTCTTGCTCTATAAAAATTAGTATTATTATTGTCATTATTATTATCATTAAATACTCTTTTCATATTCTCAGGACAGTAGTATAATTACTTTAGTAATATATTTATTTTTATAATATAAAAATAGTACTTCAATCCACATTTTAAAGCTGACAAGTAAACATTTTCTCAGTTTTTGCCCCCAGACTCTTGTAGGGGTTTGCATTTTGTCTCTTTTGTCACCTTTTCTTCTCCTTTTGAATACAGCATGATTACAGATGAGTTGATGTATGATTGTACACTGAAACACTGTTTTGTGAAAATATAAATGACAGTGGGAATGACATGCATTTTACCTGTTTTGTTCCCAGGATCTCATTCTGGACCAGACGATAGAGAAGGTTTCCTTCTGTGCGCCGGATCGTAATTTTGAGCACGCCTTCTCCTACATCTGCAGAGACGGGACCACGCGCCGCTGGATCTGCCACTGCTTCATGGCCATCAAGGACTCTGTGAGATGCTCAGATCTGTCATACACTCTCATGGACACACTGTGGTCCTGCAGTGGAGAGGCTTATGGCCTTATTTTTTCCTTCTGAAAACCAGAAAAAAAGCTTTGTGAATTTGGTATTTTTTCATGTCATTAGATTGTTTAGAGCATAAGGAAAAAATGAAAAAAGAACATTTTTAAAAAATATTTTATTCATATGTTATGCTATGTCCTCTATAGAGGACACCAGGACTAAGTCTATTTAAAGACATGAATAGACATGAAAAGCAAAGGGATTTTTTTTTTTTAAATCACCAATCAATTTTTAGGTTTCAGGATTTGGTGTTGATATGTATATGAGCCAAAATGAGTTGAAATATATTGCCTTGTCAGATATATGATTTACTCAATGCTGTGAAAATGTATAATATTTGATATAACAAAATTAAACCCACCAGCCTTCATTTCATATGAAGGAAGACTTTGACTATGTTTTGTATTTGTAATGGTTGGTGTTGGTCTCAGGGCGAGCGTCTGAGCCATGCGGTGGGCTGTGCGTTTGCTGCATGTCTGGAGCGCAAACAGAAGAGGGAGAAAGAGTGCGGGGTCACGGCCACTTTCGATGCCAACCGCACCACTTTCACACGGGAGGGATCCTTCCGCGTCACCACAGCCACGGAGCAGGCCGAGCGAGAGGAGGTCATGAGACAACTGCAGGATGCCAAGAAAGGTGTGTGTGAGAGAGATTTAATACAGTGCCCTCGAATAGTTCAAAAGTCCAAAGAAAACTCTGAATGTCGTCGTATTAGATATGGGGTTTATATGTGACCCTGGACCACAATACCAGTCATAAGGGTCAATTTTTCGAAATTGAGATTTATACATCATCTGAAAGCGGAATAAAATATATATAATTCTTTTAAATTGTAATATTTTACAGTATTTCTGTATTGTTGATCAATTAAATCCAGCTTAAGAGGCTACTTTCAAAAACCATTAACACTAAAAATATTAACATTAGAAAAATCTTTCTGACCCAAAACTTGAGTCCAGTCACAAGTAACATGCGTTTTGATGGTCACTGCGTGAGACGGTCTAACCCTTCCTCTGTCAGCAGACTCTGAGGGTGTGTTGGGCAGCTCCTCTGTCAGCGTGTCTAACCCTGTGGTCACCCTCGCTGGACCCAATGGCTCGTCATCCTCCCCTCCTCTGCCCATGGCCACACTGGCCCCTCAGGAAGCCAATCCTCACGCCATCCCGCGACGCCACGCCACCGTGGATGCTATTGCGCGCCAGGGCTCGTTCAGGGGCTTCCCTGCGCTCAGTCAGAAGACCTCTCCCTTCAAACGGCAGATGTCGCTGCGCATGAACGAGCTGCCCTCCACCATGGAGCGCAAGTCAGACTTCCCCATCAAAAACACTGGTGAGGCTCTTCAGTCTGGCATTACATCCTCTTTTGAAAAGCTCTCTGGTTTTCACTGTTCCAGAGTTGCAAATTGAATTGTTTGGTCTTTTTTTCTTATTTTATGTCAGTATAGATCTATATTGTAGGGCTGGATATTGACACACATTTCACGTCTGTGCATCTCTCAGCAGTTAAACTCCTTCATGAACCTCGCTACTGAGAAATGGCATGTAGCTTTTCAGCTGCGAAACTATTTTACTGATAAATTTGCGGTGCAGCGCTGACAAGAAGTTTCTGTTTGCGTCTCCGCGTGTGTGCTCGAGTGCGTGTCTGCACTGTGTGTGCGTTTGTGAGAGACTAGGAGAAAGAAAGCGTGATTTCCGTAGCTTACATAAAAAAGGTGGAAGACATGGAAATAGTCGGTGTATTACAGTACAGTACCACGAGAGCTAAAGAGAGCAGACTGCTCCGTGCGCTTTCGAATCGCTCTCGCGGATGATCGATCTGCGCCGCG